ATTTTTACATAGGTCTGTAAGATATGCGTGATTAAGCGGAACCACTTTTTGTTTTAAGCCGAATAACGGTAAATTGGAAATATTTCGAAAACTTATCCATAGAAAAAAAAATTATATGGATTTTCGGTATTACCGAGGAATTCTACATAGAAATTGGATAGTGGCGTCTGGCGAACAAAAACCAAACTAAAATTTGCGATCCAGTGTAAACAGTGATCATCTCCTTTGTCCGACTTTTGTTGTACAGTGTATCTACGTAATGTGCACATATATCAACATTTACATATAGCTCAGTTATGCATAGTTTGCACTGCAAGCCCATTTTTACGTAGAAATCAAAACCCATCAGGCTTCTACATATGAAATGCTGTGCGTTGGGTAATCGCTTACACGCAAAGCTCATTTAGCAGATTTCTTATGTGACAACTCTCATGCAACGCCAAGTATGCATGACTGGGCTATTACTCATGTATGTATGTAGTTGCGACACACATTCAGACACACTAATATTTATATATAAACGCATGCCGGTACATAGGCATACATATGGACATACATATATGGCTATGTTCTTTTAGTATAAAATTTTGGCATTTGGCATTGGCATAATTTTTGAAAAATGTTGCAAAACTTGTTAGGTTTATGCTCTCGACTGTTTGGAGAAAATGCTATTAAGTTTTAATGAAAAAATGCAAAATAAATACAAAACCCGAAACAAAAAGTAATAATTCCACTTAGGTTGTGGTAAAGCAGACTCAAGAGGCATAATATACTAAGTAGAGATTGAGGAGTGGGATTGTTTTCAAACCCCTATCATCAAATTTTCTCCAAAGCAGTTAAGCTTAAAGAATTTCTGCCAACATTTTGCAATTATATGTATGTATATCTTACTCACTTCTATGTGCATATGTAAGACTATTTTGTAGGCCAATGCATTGGTTGGGGCAAAACAAAAAATGGCTTAGAATTTTATGAAGGAAAAAAATTTATTATTAGATTGCTTTATTGAAGAATTTATTACCATTAATCCAGGTACTGAAGTTTATGAACAAAGAGATTTGCATTCTTTTTTGTCTTACTTATATGTATATATGTATGTACATTCGTAGGTATGCACATTGTTTGTACGTTTATCTATATGAAGGTAGATATTCATATGTAAGTATGTATGCATGGGCGTAGCCAGGTAGGGGCAGGGGGGTGCTCGAGCCCCCCCCTAACTTTCAAATTTTCCTTATATATATATAAAATAGTACCCTGAAATGCCAGCTTAATAGNGTATGTATTTACATGCAATATTTGCATATGATGCACAACTTAAAATTGCACGTTTGTCAGAAAATACGAAAAACTATTTCTTAGCAAATGCTAATTATAGGAGAAAGGTTTTTTCAACAAATTATAACCAGAATCTGCTCCAGCTTTTATTGAAAGGTAAATAAAAGCTATGTGTAGATTTTTAGCGCATAATTTCAAAAATTCTAAATTTTGAATTGTGTCACTTTTGAAGATCGTGCGCCATGTGTATTATGTATATTCACAATTCCAGTTCGAATTAATCTGTTTTCATTCCTAAAGTCGAATATGACTCCAGCTTTTAACGTATTTATGTTAGGGTATTTAAAACCTTATAACTTCAAAAAATTGAAAGAGACTGATGTTCGCTTGTTTTTGCTAAAAATTTAAAAAATTTAAAGTAATTTTTCTTAATATTATGGGAAATGTTTTTGAGCCTTAGCAATGTATGAGGCATTATCTCTCTTAACGGCTTTTTTTTTTGGTTAGCCTAACCTCGTTTCATGTTTTTTAGATGTGTACCTACATACTCGTATATTCGACCAAGGTAAATCTGAGTGCGTGGGAAACGCCCATGTAAAGGGTGTCCCATAATTTAGTTACGCAAAAATTAAAATAAAAACACAGTTTTTTCACCGTAGTATTTGTTTTTTAGTTTTACATAAAATACACAGAATGAGTTATGTTTGGAATATCACTTCGGCAAATTATTGCCACAACTTTACTGAAAAATATGAACTATTTCTCGAAGTTTTCTTTGTTTTCAAAAAGTATGATTCAAGTTTATGATGGCATGTTATCATGGATGCATTTGTTTTTCGACATTCGTATTTCACTGAACTCCGAATATGGAAATTATGAGGATAAACGAAGCCATTGGGGTGTAAATGAGTTTCATGGCTTACCTTGATTTTGCTTAAATAATCAGTGTGCAAATGTTGTTCGTGTGTACCAGCAAAGCCGTGGCGATGATTTGCTCTATGTGTTCTACCAGACTCAACCTTACCTACGTACCTAAGCTACGTACTTTATGTTTATATCATCAATTATATAAATAGGCAATCATGTTTCCTTTACACCCCTTTTACGGCTAAACTGTACTTCTAAGGTATAAACAATTATATATCATTAGAAAGGTATTTTGATGCTGATGTGCAGGCAATTTTTAAAATTTCAAATTAGTTTAAAATAGAGCGAAAAAATCAATTCAAAAGTCACACCAATACCAATGCCATACATGTACATGGTTGGGGCGGAAATGCCTCCTAAATGTATGCTTTAATATTGATAGTGAATTAAAGAAACGTGCTAAGCAGCAGTTTAGGAATAAGATGTATGTATGTATGTACATGAATAGATTAGCCTCAAACAAGGATGAGATAATTTTGAGTATGGAGAAGAAGAAAGGGATAAATACAGAAATTAAAATAAAAGTAAAGAAACCTAAATATAAAGACAAAGAGGAAGGAAAATTTAAATACCTAACCTAATAACAATGGTGGGGGTGAATATGTAAATGAAGAAAAGAATGGACATATTTAGATCAGGATAAAGGAAAGGATAAAGATGAAGAAGAAGATGAAGACCAAGACGAGGAAGAAGATGAAGATGAATATGAAGATAAGGATAAAGATAACTTATCTTAACTTAACCCCTTAACTTAACTTAACTCACCTCAACTCATCTCACCTCCGCTTAAAAACTTACTCCACCTGAGTTCGCTACACATTAATTCACCACAGGTAATTGATTAACCGAATAACTGATTAACCAACTTGCTCGAGTAATCGAATAATCGCACAGCCCTAGTTATTAAATAATTCCAAAAAGGGTAGAATCCTGAAAATACCCAAAAAAAATACCACCGACATACATTCCCATCTCTACTTTCGTGAGTGTCTGGCAGAATTAAATACAACTATCGTGCATGTACATACATACGTAAATAATATTTTGTGATTTGTGTCCCAATTACTACATTAAATTAACATATCTTTATTAACCAATCTTTATTCAAGAAAAATGTGCTTTCTGGATCTGGGAAATAATATAAATAATTGACATTTTTAAATTGACAATTGAATGATAGTACAAAAGATAAGATCAATAATAAGGCTCTAACTAAAGGTGAAGACAGACCACGTGACTTTGCTATCGCTAATGGTGAGGATACATCACATACATACGTTATGTATATAATTTTAAGGGTAGAAAATGCGCTGAGTCCTTGCATTAACGACTTTGACATGGTCCCAATTTTGCAAGAAGTTAATTAAGCACCTCTGAAACCCGCATATGATCCAAGATTCCAGAAATTTAAATGTTTACAAAAAACTGAATGATTTAAAAAAGAACAATATTCTGATCCAATTCGGCTGGCAGGCACGGCTTTGAAAACAGAATTTTCTTCGAAATTTCGATCCCTGTAAAATGGCAATTTATTTGCTATATCCATTTAGATCCTCGTTGTAAGCACAATATTTTCGGACCAGTCGCAGAAGAAAAACTGAAAAATTAAATAAAAAAATTAAAAACAAAATTTCGAACAGCCAGAACAGCCAAAAGAATGAGAATGGGCAGTTCTTTGAAAAGGGTACAGAAAAACCTGCAACACCTGGTTCGGCTAGTAAGCGGTATTTAAAGAGAGATTTCGTCATGATTCTAGAATCGTCACATAAAAGAGAATTAACATAACTCAAAGTTCTCTCAACTAGTGGGATATCAATCGAAGCAACTTTTAAATATTTTTAAGTTTCTTACTCAGATATGTACTTGTATGGGCTTATCCAGCATTGTTCCGAGCGAGCAGTTATTTAGGGCCATAGGTCTTATTTACGACCCTTTAAGAAAAAGGCTGGAACCTGGAAAGGCAGCAACATTACATTTTATTCAATAAAATGTTGCAATTCATAAATTTAAGTAGAATTGCCAACTTTTTGTTTTTTTTTTTCATTTACTTCCATCCGCGGTGTCGAAAATTCCACATCCTTAATATGTACTACACATGACTCTACCATTTAAGTGGTAAAATTAACTTTTACACAGCATTTGTAAATACATATTTAAATGCGAGTATCTACATTAGACTGGTTTAAAAAATCGACTTTTTGTTGACGGTGTCAGTGATTTTTCCAAGCGATAAAAATGTACTTTTTAAACTATGTTAAGCTTGATTAGTGAATAATTTTACCTAAATTACGTTATTTCCAAAGAAACTTAAAAATTATAAAATTTCCTAGAAAAAAATTTCTGATATTTGAGGCGGTGAGAGCAGAAATGGCTTAATTCTTAAAATTAAGGGCTGTGCTTTTTACAGGCTACTTTTTTCACTGTCCCGAAAATATTTGATAAGGGATTTTGAAAAAAAGAAATAGTCGATTTTTTCTTTTTGAACCAGTCTAAAGCCTAAAGTATACAGTATATGTACATTTGGTCAACTTAGCGTGCATACTTTTCGGAAAATTTACCTAACCTGTCAGCGCATTGTAAAAGTTAATTTTATTATACGCTTCCGCCATTAAAGAGCTTTCAAAATTAATTTATGTATAAAACGAAAATTAGTTAGAAACTATAAATATTAAAAACAAAATTGCGCATACATATGTATTTTTTTTACAAAGCTCTAAACGCTTTTAGTGAAATTTCACTAATTAATGCATTTCCAAACGTTTTTCTCTCTTTTCTATTTTTCATGTAATTTGTAGTTGTAAATCAACGCTATGAGCCGGAAGTGCAAAATCCAGGCGGTTTTATTGGCAGCAATGTATTGATTAAGTGCAATATACCGTCGTTCGTAAAGGAGTATGTAACGGTGACATCATGGCTACAGGAACCAAATTTCAACATATATCCTTCGCTGGAGGGAGGTAAGCTGGTATTTTAAATTTAACCTTAGACGCCCGCTGAAAGCCATAGTAGGAATCTGCTAGTGGTGGGCCCATCCACGAACCGATATGCATAATTTGGTTGTTATTTTGTTAGTTATGTGGCAAATTAAAAATCATTACACATGTGTAGGAGTGTGCATCCGAGTGTGTAGAGTGTATGTTTGATCATTAGAAAGTTCAATTATTCATAACATTTCACTAATTGTGCACAAAACGCGAGCTGTGCTTGTCGAATAATCGTTTTTGGCATGTGCAACCCACCAAATGAAAAAAGGTATTGCCTTCTTCGATCCAATGGTTTCCGTGCATTCTGCTTGCCACTTCCTCATTCTGGTGCCTCAGAATCAGAAATGCCATCTTCCGACTCATTCAAGTTTCCTCGCTAATTTTTTAATATGAGTATCAAACGAGAGAGGGTTAAGATTTTTTTCTTTTGAAAATAGTATTTTTTCATAGATTTACGACCCGTTTAGAAATTTTAAATCATTTTTATCAACAAGTTAAATTAAATATTTAATTATAAGTGTCAAACGGTAGAGGTTTTAGTAAGCTTTGAGTAAAATATTCTTTAAGAGGGTTGCCACCGGCTCAAAAAGTTAAAATAAATCCTACTAATATGAAAGTTTGTGAGTGAGTGAGTGTGTATGTTTGTCGCTTTTTCACGCATTTTGAGCTCGAGCCTTTATTCGTGTCTAGTGTCGATATATACCAAAAGATAGCATAAAACCTATAGAATGCGTGAAAATTACTTGTATTACCTACCTGTTCATACCTGCCAACCCGATATGTAAGCCAGGCTATTTTTACAACCCTACGTTTTCGCATTATATAGGCTTGATTTTTTCGAATGTTATATAAATTTTTCATTCAACAAATAAGTACCAAATTAAAAAAAAAATAATGATAATTTTTTAATATTTAATTAAAAATATTCTGGCCTGGATTTTTCAGCCAACCCACGCTCTTGTCGGATCTTAGACTATATGAGGGTTGCCCCAGGTTAGAAATTTTATTAGGAAGTTAAATGTAATCTTGCTAATATTATAAAGTTGAACGCCGAATGAACTTTTACAATAAAGGCGGCAAACGAATGATCTTTATGAAGGATTCATTTTGAAAAGAGTTGCCACTTGCTAAAAAGTCAAATCCCATTTTCCACAAGTTAAATAGAGTATTAGAATATGAATTTTATTCGAAAGAGGTTCAAGAAAGTTTTGTGGCTTGAAAACATTTTTGAAGAGAGTGACCACTTGTATAAAACACAAATTAAATTTAATCCACATGTAAATTGGAATATTACAAAATGATGGCAAGTCAAACAAAAGATATTTCAAAAGGCTTTATTTCGAAAATATTTCTAAAAAAAAAGGTTTTTTTTTATTCAGGCATATTTTTTAAAATAATAGCAAAAATATTTTTAAAAAATCTATGTGTATATCGCAAAGTATTGTTAGTTGTTTTTTTTTATTGAAGTGCCAAATTCAGTTGAAATTCGGCGAATTGAACATGTTCTGGAGCCTTCTGACCATAAACACATTGTGACATTTATTAATGTATTTTCTTGTTAGCAATCATAAAGTTAAACCGAACTTAACGCGCGCGAAGCTGCGGGTAAAAGCTAGTAGATAGTATAGATTTAAGTTTTTAACTAACATAAAACAAAAGAAATAAAAAGTATGTTTCATTCACTTTAGAGCTTTTCTAAATCTATATTTCCAGTAGGCATTAAATGGCAAAAATGACCAAGTTGGGCATTAAAAAATATGCGTGTCATTACGTAAAAAATTAAGTTCATTTCCACATTTCATTTTTTTTAATGGCATATATTTTTTGTCATTTCAATGCCAATTGCAAATTCGGCATAAGAGTCCAATTTTGAATATATCATGTTAAATAACTATCACAAAAATTACTATTGTGGTTTGGAATGATAAGGTACATCATATTTTTCCTCTTTTTAATCAAATAGGTTGAATATTGTCTACTTAAACTAAATGCATACAGATATTTTCAATAACGATATTGGAAACCGGGGTGCGTATTTTGTCACAAGAAATCACCTCGGCGAAGTAAGGTTATTCAATTAGACGCAAATATCACAGCGAAGCCCAAGCTTATTTCTTTAACCGTACTATTTAATTCTTCGCTACCTACCAAAAATAATACATCCTCAAGTATCAATGAACCAGCAAAAGTCAACTGCAGCTTCATTAACTTACAGGTTTCTCTTCCTCTTTTCCGCACTCCTGGGCTTCAACTTGGCCAACCATGCTTTTGGTGTTTTGTTTTTTTTTTTGCAGGAACTTGTAAATTTTGATTGGCACCAACCCACCACCTAAGCAGTCATTCGACTATCTCAGTACACATATCCTTGTTGAAAACTTTATTATTTTCACTCTCCCTTCCCTATTTAAATACGTCCGCATACACACACATGCATGAGTATGCATTTTGAACTATGTTATTAAGAACAAAAACAAGATGTTAGACAACGAATAAACATATATAAAAAAAAAAAAACTAAAACCTAAAATAAACAAGAAAATATACATATTGCACTCAACATTTGCGCTCAAGCGTAACTGTTTTGCCAATTTTGTTTTATTTCTCGAAGTTTATTTTGATATCCTGTGCTTCTTTTTTTTCTGCTTCTATGTGTGCTTTTAGATGGCAAGAATCATATGCTACCGACCGGCGAACTTCTGGTTTACAACATCACACGCACCGATGCGCATAAAGTTTATCGCTGCCGCACCCATCACAAGCTAACGCAGGACTCTGTTGTAAGCAGCAATATGGGCAAAATTCAATTGACTGGTAAGTTAAGCTACAAATACATACAACAACAACAGCAACAATATGTAGAGAATGAATTATAGCAAAAGCCATGCATGCTTGACCTCATCACACGGCATAGATATGTTTGTATGTATGTTTGCAGGTACATTAGATCGTACCACCTTACAAGCAAAAAACAACATTCGCCGTACACCCTTAGTCTAAAGTACGAGTGTTTTGCAAGGCAATTTCGAAAAACAAACTCTTTTTGGTCCAATCTAGGGGTTCAGTGACACTTACAATCCGAATTAATTGTTTGTTTTTTAATAGTTCTACTTAGCGAAAGTTTAATGATTTTTGATGATCTAAAATTTACTGACGTGAGGGTGTTACTTTAAATTGATAAGAGGGTAAGTACTAGAAAGGGGTAACTGAGGTCGATGAGGTTTGCAAAAGAAATAATTCTAATATAATAATATGAAATCGCGAACCCAACATTCGGCCAAAAACAAACAAAAGTACTTTTTTCAGAATGGCATTGCAAAAATATTTTAGTGTAAGGGGTGTACCGTGGCCTTTTTTTCGGTACGCTCTAATGTACATAAATACAGTGACGTGCAAAACTGTAACATAGGTGACACTTTTTATTTCAGACGCCGATATCTTTACAAGTTCCCATAACTTTCATACTTATGTTGTATATTCTTATTGGTACATCTTTACTCTCTGTCTCTCAAAACGATTTGTAGTCAATCCAACAACAACAATTTATTTCGTGTTTATTTACAAAAAAACAACTCTGAATTTTTTTTCTTCCGACTAAATTTGGCATCACTGTGTGTGGCACCACATTTGCCTTAGGGATGAAAGTTAAGAAAATTCATCGCTATATACATGACGATGCATCCTAAATAAACATCGATATTTTCGATGCATCAAATAAATTAAAAATATACAAGAGAATGTAACGAACGGATTAATGGGTTAAGTATTAAGTCACATTGAAATGTATTTACTATGCCAAAATTACTGACATCCAAACCGGGCTCAACTTACAGCTGTTCGTTTGATGTCAAATGCGTCTTGATTATATCAGAAAAACTGACCAAATGTAGAAGTGAAATTTGTTGACATAATTCAAGAAAATGTGGCTCGATAGAACTTTTAATGACTTTTTATTTTATTTTAATTCACATATTATACGTCCCAAAAAATTAGTTTCAATATAAATTTTGTTAATATTTTAGTTAATACTACAGAAAAATTCATGATACAATTTGATAAATTTTTGGATTTTTTCTAATATTTTTTATTTGAGAAAAAAATTCTTCTTATTTATATTTATTTTTGGTTTTGAATCTAAGAAGAGCGATACGGATAATTAATCACATTATTGTGAGCTCAATTGAATCTTTTTTTTCCATTTGAGTAATCATTCTTTCAAACAAACTTAAATTTTCAGTAAACAAAATTTATGAAAATTCGAAAAACTTCGAATTAAATCGAATTTGCACCACCAAACCGATTTCCTTTGCCTTTAGGAACACTTTTGGTAAAATTTTTTCATATGGCAAACTCCAAATTTTTCCCTACTTTCCCTACGATCTCACCTCTCCGATGTTAATCCTTTATGTTAATTTATGTTTCCTGATTAACCAAATTTTTTCTGGTAATCACTTACTGATTAAACTCCAATTAAGGAAAAGGCATTCAAACTAAGCTAAAGATAACTGTAAAATGCAAACTAGAGGTTTTAGGTAAAACTGTAATATTTGTCTTAATTTACATTGTGTGTGCCAGTTTTTTTTTATTGTTTTTGGATTCATTTCAAATCGGTTTGAGGAAGAGAGTACAGGTCTGTCAATAAGAATAAGCAAAAAAAGTGTGTTATGCACCTTTGGAGAGTGCATGAATGAATTATCAGAAATGTATTTGCCAAATTTAATCCGCTATTTTGAATTTCAAAATTTTTTTATCATATACGTAACCAGCCGTCTTAAAAATCACCGAGTAACAAACTTCAAGTGAATCCAATCATTTCTCAAACCTTCGCTTGTCATATTGGATTTTAAAAAGAACCACCCGTAATTTAAATTTTTTTTACCTGCACCAATTTTGTAGAGGGAGCTTCGTTAATGAATACATGTACTAGTAACTAGATGAACAAAAAGAATGGATTGCAGTAGTTTAGTGACCGGTTGTTTTTAAACTATTAGAGCCCAAAAATGCTATGAAAAATTGCACCCAATCGAATGCTAGTAAGTGTATAAAAGTTATGACGTTGATTGGCTTCTATTTACTTAAGACAAATAACTGTGTTAGGAATTTAAAACTAGCTGCATTCGATGAAGTAATTGCTTATATTTTGCTCAATACTGCATGTGTGCATCCGCAAATATGAACAAAGCTTCGCGAGGGAATTTGCAGTTTTGCGGTGTGTTAATTATATCTTCAAATTAATTAGCGTTAACTCCAAAACCTACGAAAGCAACCTACTTGTGGTGTACATGTATGTATGTAGTTATGTATGCAGAGATGAACACTTGCTAAACGTGTTGTGCACTTAAAACGTTTAAAATGCACTTAAACACTGTATGTATGCATGCATGTACATTTGTACATACATGAAAAAGGTGCACAAGTATCATTACTCGTATAAACAGCAATCGTGGCAAAAATAAAAATAAAAAAATATTTACATTTTATTGGCGGTGCCACATAATTGCCGTTTATGAATATTAATTTCAATTATATTTACATACTGTTTTTAACGCACACACATATTTTGAATGTTACTCTTTTATTTTACACGTACATAAATTCAGATGTATGTATGTATTTCTCTGCACAAAATTCCATACTTTCTCTCAATTTTATTTGTTAATAATGTATTTATTTTTCGCTGCATATTTTCACAGAAATGCGTGAACTTGTGCCACCAATTATGAATGAAAAGGCCACAAGTATAGTGGCGCGCCTGGGCGATCCTGTTGTTGTGCCATGTGTGGCCTATGCCAACCCGAAGCCAGTCTATCGGTAATTATTTACATCTATTTTATTGTAGACATATATATATTTACATACCTACAAATCGTTAATTCAATATAGAAAAGCCCTAGAGTCATTCCATGTAAAAGAGGAAAATAACGTAAATATTAAAATGTCCTATAGTAGCCTCTTTTACAATGACTACATTTCATTAGTCTGTTGAAAAATATTAAAAAGTGAAAAGAAATTGTAATTTTTTTCTATGGAAACTTTTATTTCATGCATTACTTTACACTTGGTTTTATTAGCCAACTATTTATTGAAAAAGAAATCGTATAGTTTATATATTACTCCACAAAGAAAAAATTGGGGAAATTAAGTATTTTGGCTACAATTCATCATTGAGTTATTTTCAGTGTCCCACCAGTCACATTCATTCAAATGATAGTTACATAAAATTGAGAAATCGTTATAATTTAGCTAGTCGATGCAAGTCAGTAAGCTAAAGCAGAGAAACGTTTTTTTTTTGTGCGACTTCGATTACCTATTAAAAGTGTAACGGTGCGTCTATAGTTTTTTTTTTCTGAAGAGAAGTTATTACTGGTAATCAAAAGGTTATTTCGTAATTTATAAAATTTAATAAATGTATTCTATATGAGCCACTCTCTTTGAAGAGGGACGGATTTCGTTAAAAAAAAACTATGTCATGTCTCCAATTCGCTTCAAATTTTTTATGGATTCTATATATGAAATGAACTAACTAGTGTTCGAGAATTTTTTTTATTTTTTTCTATTTTTTGCATTTTTTCATGATTCTGACTACTCATCGTAGAGACTTCATCTTAACGTCGTTTTAAAGCTAAAGAAACGGTTTTACATTTCTATATATAAGATGGTCAAGATTGTTCTAAGGCTAACTTAATTATTAACAATTGCACTTTTTGAAGTTAATTTGCATAGTGAAGACTAGGGATTAAGGATTATGCCATCGTAATCGTTGTTTAATTCTCTATAAAAACGTGATTAAAAAAATGGGCGTTTTCCAAGAACTATTTTTAAAATATTTGTCTTTATGTCGATATGGTTTATTTTGTGATAATCAACAATTTTTCGTAATTTATTTTCGAAAACTTAAGCTTGAGATATATTTAGTAAGGCGTTTCTCTCGCGCCTCCTGAAAAAAGTATCGCATTGACCAGTAGAGCCACTCAAGAGACTGATTAACTTGTGTTGATATAAGAAACAGGATCCTTCAGTGAAATTGAGTCTTTCTCAGCATGCCTAGTTGAAGGGTAGATCGATGGAATCAGTCTTCCCAACAAACATTTAGATTAGATGACGATTGGAAAACGATTAGAAATCTTATTGGTTTCTCTAATGTAGAAGGTTAGAAGACGATTAGAGAAACTGTCGAGAATTATAGAATGCTCTACAAAATGGGGACTTAGCTCTCAATATCGGGAAAGAGGTTAGATATCTAATCGTATTCTAACGTTGATTTTACATTAGAATTTTAATGTATGTAGTTCTCGAATCGAAAATCAGGGCTCGAATCGTAACAGACGTGAACGAGCAACCCGTCTCTTAATTTGGTACACAAGATTAGCGGTACGTTCACGATATCTTCATATGTTTACTTGTAGTTACTGGTCCCCCAAAATCTATTAAGCAGTAACGCATTGAACAATATAAGAAGTGCTAAAGTAAGCCTCTTAAGAGAAAGCTTCTTATCCTAGCATTGTGGCCTTGTTCATAAAAAATTAAGTAGAATTGAAAAGCTGTATAAAGTGACAATTTCCTAAAAATTTTCGATTTATAAAGCATTTAAAGACCATTAGACTTTAACCATGGAAATTGGTGAAGGAAATTCATTCCAAAATACACTATCCTCTCACCCTATCGGAAAAATCAACCAACAGCAAAAAATTCGTGGAACTAGACGTAGATAAGCCTAACCGAGAACTATAGAGTAATTAAGGAATATGTGGTAGGACAACAGGAAATTTTAGCAAATGTATTTGCGTTGAAAAAAAATGTTTCCTGAATTAAGCCGAAGGAAAGAAATTACTGAAATAATTATGCAAAAATTTAAATTACTGAAAATGAACTGAATGTCGAAGGATCTCAGTATTTACATGAAAATATAAACAAAGCAGAAGGCAAGCAGCAGCTTCCAATGCACCTCACATTACGGCCTTCTTTCACCTGCGCCAATTTCATGGCAGCACCAAACAAAACATACCTTCACACATGCGTATGTGGAAAGAAAATAAAAAATTTCGTCGTACGTGTGAAGGGGGAAGCGAGTTGTCGTTTTCGCGTACAAACTTGCCGCCGCATCAAGTCAAACCAAACTGAGACAAAGCGATGCAGACCAGACCAAGTCACAATAGAGATGAGTGGGAGTAAGCTGGGGAAACAACTTAACACACATGACTGCCGTAACTGTCCCATGCTCCGCACCTCCACCAATGTCCTTTCCACATACTCCGCAGACGTGTAGCATCACAAAGCGAAAAACGTAAAGAGCAGAAAATTAAGAAGCAGAAAAACTAAAAAGCAGAACGGCATAAATAAAACAATAGCAAGGAGGCAAGAAAAAAAAAATAGCATAAGGCACGATAAGAGACGAGAAAAAATAAAATGCAATGTGAAAAATCTAGAAAATGAGAAATGTAAAAGGACATGCATGAAAAACCGGAACGAAAAAGCAAAAAAGCAAGCGACGGCGGAAAATATACGCAACCATGCCGATTGGTCTGGGGACAGTCAAGCCGTAAGCAACCAAGCAGTCAAATAAAATGAGTACTACAATAAATCCACCAGTGATGCCAACCTGCGGGATAATTCACCTATTTCGATGGAATTTTAATTTATCGCTAGAATTGGGAAATGGCTCTAGATTTGGGGCAATTCAATATACAAATGACTTTGATAAAATTGCAATTATAAATTACAATAATTGTTGAAATTTGCGTTTAGCTTTAGCTATTTTGTAAGCCTTTTTTAAATCGCGTTAGCTTTTTTAGCTAAATTTTTTTTTTATAATTTCGCCAATTTTACACAGAGTTCTATCATTTTGATGGATATCAAACAGTGCAAAAATAGCTATTTTGGCATGCCCATTCCCTTTTTGTTATATCGATAACACAAAAACAAAATATTTTCGATACACACGAAGCAATCAATATAGTTACGAAAATATTGTAAAACTGCGCTTGTAGTTTTTCTCTCTTACGTCAGGTTTTGGAAAAGGACCTTGTAATTTCAAGGACATGATTATTTCAAAAAATTAATTTAAAAAATTCAGTGTAATGTAGAATGGCAACATAGGTAACAATTAAAAGAGAAAATTCTGAGGATTTTTAAAAATATATATTTTTTTTTTGATTTACGAAGGCGAATGGATATTGATTTTTTATTTTTTTTTTTTTTTTTTTAAGATTATAAAGTTATAAGGACGAAATTCGAGGAAGTGGTCGAGTATGTATTATATTTGTATATTAATTATAACCAACCGCCGGGTTTTGTTCACAACGTTTTGCCTTAAATATTGGAATCGCCATTGTAAAATATTTTAATGCTCCAATTTGATATTTGTAAATATTTAAGTTCATATTTGTTTGCGTTATAATAATCTAATTATTTATTTTGTTTAGCTATTTTTGAAGAAATATATTTTTGGCTAATTTGTTTGGCTGAATTGTGTGGCTTGCTGTAGGCCTCAAAATTTTCTGGCAACACTGATAGCGAACACTTTTTTCACGTTTTCGTTCGACGCTCTCTTTTCTCGTTTCGTTTTCGTCACCAAACCATCGAATTTGTTTATTATATTTGTTGCTTTTTTTTATAAAAAGAAAATTAGCATGAAGTTCTTTAAATATGTAGCAAAAATCATTTCGGGGGAATTTCATTGTAGGGGATTTTTTTCTGGAATTTCGGGGAATTAGCCCTAAGAGAGTTGGCATCACTGCAAAGCAATGCGGCGGTGGTTAGGCACTAGTGGCCACGCTGGCGTATACGTAACATACCGAAAATGAGTGATGGCTTGTTTGAGGAGAATGTATGCACCTGTGTGTGTGTGTTCGAAATAGCGGTGTGTTTTCATTTGCACTAAACGTGTGTTGAGACTGCTCCCTGGGTGGAGTTTGTGGAGCGTACGTACGTTGGTACTACAACCATACAAGAGTTGATACGCTCGAGTGCATTGACATGCAATATTTTAATATGCCATGGCAACTAGGCAGCGTAACAGCAACAACAGCCTGTAACAATAGCGACCACTACTGTAGGCCCTTAGCCCTTACCACTGACACTAAATTTTCTTAGAACGTTCATTGGGTAGTGCTAATGCTGACGATGTTTGCACAAATGTCATCGCGTCGGCAACATTTGATTTAAATAAAGTATTGCAGAGCTTTCTTTGCACTGACAGCCAGAAGCTAATAACATAAGAAGCAACTTCTTTTTGGCCACCTCATTTGAGAGGAGTACAGCTCACATGCACTATATTACATGGGTTAAATTGTAACTGAAGTTCAGTTACTGAACTCATCTTACTGTATGGCACCAACAGAAGGTAAAGACTATAGAAAAAATCTCGATGACAAATTTAACGTCACGAAAGATAACAGTCGTCGCTATACGAGCACAGTGGATAACACTCCTATAAACTCATTAATTCGAGGTCTTAGCTATAAACACTGTTTGCATGCTTGACAGACCTAGCTTCTGTCGTCATCCAGTATTTTTAATATTTTGTAGGGAAACGACTTTACTTTAACCACATGATAAAATAAGAAAACGTGCGTATTCTTTTGAAATTATAATTTACAGCAGTGGCGGCGTTATTCCGACAGCTGATATGGCATGCTGCCTTCCTCTAACTCCTGAAAACCTTTTGCTTCGGTTTCAATTCCATCTTGGCAAGGATGGCGAAGGTTGATGAGCTCAATGAAAGCTTTGTCAAAAAATAGGTCCTCAGAGATTTTGTCTTGCTACATTTCTACCTTCTTGAGTAACAGGTTGAGAGTCGATGCAATGCAAATTCATTTTCTATATTACGGAGGCAGACATCCTTTCTTATTGTGGTGGGATTGGTTCTATAGTTTGATGCATTTAATTTTACAAAACTCTATTCATTTTTCGGGGACTACAAAATATGACACCGAAGCGTAAATGCAATTTTTTTCCTGATATCAATGATGGCTAATAAAATGGAGAAAGTTGTGGACTGACCGAAGTTGCCAATTCTTCTTAACGGGTATTTTTCAACCTTTGTCATAATTGAAACACAATACCCGGCCAACGGTGAAGTTCGCCAAATTGGACGATGTCGTCGTTCACAGTTCGCCCTGCTATTTCGCCTACTTTAACAGGATTAGAGCGGTAGCGAAAACAGCTGATACCATTTCGTCGCACTTATAATTTAGGTGGCCATATTTTGAAAAACGAAACCATATTTAGAAATGATGAAATGATAACAAATATAAACATAAGACAAGGGGGGATTGTTATAAAGTATTTTATTTTAAGCCAGATTTAACGAATCGATCGCTGTATTTTTCAACCTACAAAAATAATTCGTGTTGTTTTTTTTTCTAAATATTTGAAAGCAAAAAAACATACGGCCATCTTTGGCATGTACTGCCATCATCTTCCAGCAGAGCGATAGAAATAAATCTATCGCCACGAAACGCCGCCGAGCAAACTTCGCATTTTACTTTGGCTATGTTTAATTTCATATGCCAATTTTGACAGCGGGAATTTCGCTGTGGTGAGTTCGCCGATCGCCGGCATTGTATTTCCATGGTCATATTGCACTTGATGGTGGATTCCCAGGCCCTCACCTCAATCCACCCAAACTCAAGTCAAAACACTTCCATTTAGGGGTGAAACTATACCAGTAAATACAAGTAAATACTCGATACTTTTCGTTCGATACCAAGCAATTTTGGTATCAATACTTTTGAACCAAGTACTGAGCAGGGATAAAAAAAAATACTCGTATCGAAACCCGATACCAAGGCGAATTTTCTGCCCGAATTTTTTGCTCCACTAATATGAAACGCCCAGTGCTTTATGGCTGTTCAAACGCCAGTGACCTTCAAATACTGAAGATTTTAATTTTTTCCCGAAACCAGTATGCAATGAACTTTTTCTACAGATATTTTTGCTGTTCTTGCATCAGGGAATTCATTTCCATGGTCGCAAAAACAAAAAAATCGGTTTAAGATATATGTATATATTTTAAGTTCACTGTTCTCATGTCAAAGGATTAAAATTCTAAGATTTTACTTTTGAAGGTCGGTCTTGGAATGAAAGTAATTTTACATTTAATGAGACTTTTAAAGTGACTTTTACAAGTAAAATTTTTGATTTTTTGTCTTTTTACCTAAAAACGACTTTTAAACTTGATTGGTTTTGTAAAACTTCTGTAAAATGAAATGCTTTTTCGACTCTTGCAGCAAAGTAAATGAATTCCTTGATGTAAGAACATTGGTAATTCGGGTTTAAAACTTTTTAAAAACTTCATTGCATAATGGTTTCAGGCAAAAAAAAACGGAAAAGGATTTAAACCGCCTATTTTTGAAAGTCATTATTCCACAAAGCGATACTATTTTTCCTGAAGTCCCCATCTCAAAAGCTTTAAAGCACCGTTACATTTACTTCGCTATCTCTTTCGTTTGATTTTGTGTTTTTTTTTTCAAAAACAAAACAAATTCTATGGGACTGAGATATATTATTTTCTAATTTTTAGTCCATTTATAAAAGCGTGGTATATTAAAAAGTTTATTTTATTTTATTTATTTGTTAGTATTGTTATTAGAGCATGCTAGATCTGCGATCGAGCTTCATAGATCTATTGTGCTATTCATTGAATGGTCACTTCCAACTAATTTATGAATCTTATCATCCTGGAGGTTGTCATTTTCCGGTTTATAGCTGGATTCAAGTTTTAGGCCAATTGTACGTGGGCAATAAAATATTACTTATGTGCTAATTTGCTGCACCAATCCACTGAACCTGTAGGGCATCTCATCAGAAATGTCCATTCTTTAAATATGATTTCTCAGCTTTCAATATTAGTTATTAAACTCTTCCGGCTAAAGCCAAGCAGTCGCTCAAAGGCTACTCGGTTGGGAGTTATAAATCACTCAGATTGTCTTTTGCCCTTTGACATACGCCATTAGGCTCCAACCTGAGAATCATCATACCTTCTGCCGTGTATCGCTTGGTTGGACCGCAAAATGGCTGAGCGCCGTGGAGGCCGCGTTGGGCTACTTTTTTCAGGCTTTTAGTCTACTAGATATCTCCACATTTTATTTGAGTCTTACTTCCGGTTATCGGCTTGGGACATCTGTTTACGAAAACTTGCAGACGCCTACAAATGGACACTGGATTTGAAAAGCGTAAGCTGAACCTCAGCTTGTTGATTCGCTCCAAGGTGTAAATCATGACAAAGGCTGCTTTGACTTTACTTATTCTGTGGTTAATTTCTTTATTAGCGTCGCCGCTGGGGGAAACTTCAATGCGGAGGTATGTGAAATTCCTTACAGTCTTAAGAATTTGGTCGGAGACTAAGACGTCACAACAAGACTTCGCTGGCATACTTAGAAGCTTGGTTTTTTTTAATTCTCAAGCTTGCCGTCTCAGCTTCTCTGTGCGCTATACCCGTTTATACCGATCAGAAAGACGATGTGCTAAAACAGAAATATAGTCAGTGTTGTCATTAACAGCAGCAAACTGGACAAGGACCACCGAGGCCCACAGTCGGGGAGCTGTCACATGGCAACATCTAACAAATCGTAATCAGCCATCGCTTAATATTTATGGTTATTGATATGTATGACGTCGGTGTAAGTAAAGTATCCCTGCATAGGAATGAGTTCATACCGATTCAGGCGAGCTGGCATTGAGCTATAGTTTCCGTAGCAAATGCCTTTCCCGTAGGTAAACCAGTTTTTAGTTCATTATAAAGTAGGTCATATGGGACTAGTTATTTTGCAAGATTCCTATAATTTTAGCTGCTGGGTTATTTATATACGGGTAAGGAATAAATTGTGCAAGTACATTGTATGTACGTATGTAAATACTTGATTGTGACTTATGTGAATGATTTTGCATAAAGTGAAGTGGGTCGCACAGCTTTTCCACTTAATTGCGCATTAGTCTAAGTGGTTTGCTTAAATGCAACGAAAACGAAAAAATCTTCAAAGTTAACCAACTCTTATAGCACTTGTGTGCCAAATATTAAGAAAATAAGCTTATGAAGCCCTGGAATTTACTACATGCATTTAGCTGCTTTTTAGCCACTTCCATTCTTGTGTATAAATAAAAAACTTCGCTTGCATATTTATGTATTAATAATCTACTGCAAATTACTTTCAGCTGGCATACGAAACGTCCAAATAACGAGGAATCCATACAACATCTGCTGGCGACGGGACGCGCCAAAATTAAAGAAGGCACTCTAATTATTACCGCAGTCGATCGGTCCGAGAGTGGGGCGTTCTTCTGCACTGCCACCAACTCGGAGGGCAGCGAAACTTTGGAAGTACAAATTGCTGTTACATCGCAGCTCACTGCCAGCATACAACCCACCATACAGACAGTGAATTTGGGGAAAACTGCAAATTTGGTAAGTTGCTGACCGGGGGCAGTTATTTGTAAAATCCATTAAAATGTCAATGAAAATAGAAAACTCCTCGTTCACATGCCTTTAATTGCGCCTAATTAGTGATATTTTGCACGGGTCTGCATATGCTTTATTTTTTACTTTTAGATGTGCAGCATTTCGGGATTCCCAAAACAGAGCATCATTTGGCTGAAAGATGGCCAACCACTGCGCTCCGGCGCGCGTGTTCGATTGCTGTCCACAGAACATATTCGCATTACGTCCATTACCAAAGAGGACAAGGGCATGTACCAGTGCATTGTGAAGAATGATCTAGAATCTGCGCAAGGTACCGCCGAACTACGACTTGGAGGTGAGTCAATATTTTCATTTAAAAGTTTGCTTTTGAGGAAAAATTAAACAAGTATCTATGGGTGATAAACTCTTTAATGTTATCACGCTCAATAAATCTCATTCTTTTATAAATGTTTCCTTCTGCGATCTGGGTAAAATTTTCGTTAACCCAGTCGAACATTTTTGGCAGCTTTTTTTAACCCAGCAGAAAATCTGTAATTGATTATTGTGTACATAAACGGGATAAGTTTACGTATAGTTTTTAGGATCATTTCAGCGCGTTCCAGGACTATTTCAGGAACATTTCCATAGTTGTTTGGTATAATTTCGGGACTAGTTTGGCATCATTTCGAGACCTGGTCAGGGCTATTCCGAGTTAGTTCACGTCTATTTGGGGATTCTTTTGAAACTAGTTATGGACCACTTCGATATATATCGCCAGTACTTTCTCTTCTGTGTCCACTGACCCGCGTTGGGCACTTTAAGAGCGGAAACATTTCTGTTCATTCGTACGAAATTACCAATCCAGAGTAGCCGCGGTATTTTAATTCGCATTGTTGTAAAGCTCATACAGCTCATCGTTTTATCGTTTTCGGAATTCGTCGTCGACCATGCGCAAAGGCCTGTAAATCTGTCGCAGAATTGTTCTCTAGAAAACTGCAAGACTCGCCCCATCAGATATTTTCATTGTTCATGCTTCTATGCCATACACCAGTGTGACTAACTCCCTTTGGAACTACCTGCTAAGAACATTACAAGACAAGCTGCAAACGAGCGCCAGAGAAACCTCTCCCCCTATTAAACTGCTAGACTACCTATATACTTTTAGATTTAAAATAGAATGAGTACTTACATGTCACTGTTTATTTAGCGTACATCCCTTGATAGGGAGAGTGAGCCGAACTATTGCCGAGGCTGTAGATGCAAAGAAAAAGATAAAAGTGTACAACACCTTATCAGCCACTGCCCAGTACTTAGTAGAATGCGATTACATACGCTCGGAGGACCAGCTCTACAGACCTTGTGGAGATAGCGAAGATTTATATTTGTGTAAAAGTGTAAGATAGTGCTGAAAGCTCATTGCGTTAAAGAAATGGTTTGATCCCGAGTGGGCTTCGCAACTTCGTACCGGAACTAAGATAGCAAATGGCAATATAGTGCGCCTGCATTTGAACTGAGCATAAGGGGAGTCACTCTATCTCTAGATCAACGTCTTAAACTCCCTTATTGTAGTACAATGCCTGATGGATAGGCACGCTCAACGTGTGAGGAAACGCCTCGCAATTTCTGTAGAAAATTTCAAGAAGAGAGAAAAGAAAACATTCCTGAACCGCCTGTTTCAAAGCCATACACTGTATGTTATCCTCAGCCGGCAGTGCTTGGAAACTTTTAAGATGCTTACCCCTGTGGAAATATCTTAGGTCATTTGCAAATCACATGGTTTTTGCACTATAGGAGCACAACAGCTATTTAACCTTTGTAGAGTTGCCCTTTTCATTCTGTCAATTGAAATAATGCCCCTAATTGCTTCCTAACTTTTACGACAAATACATTTTCTTCTATATAACATAAACGCTCTCTTACAGAGGTAGCACCGCAACTGATTTACAAATTCATCGAACAAACTATACAACCCGGCCCATCAGTATCGTTGAAATGCAGCGCAAGTGGCAATCCAACACCAAAAATTGTCTGGCACTTAGACGGATTTCCTCTACCAAATGTAAGTAGTTATATTAATGCGTCAAATATGTAAATACATATTTACTTAGGAATAATTTCGCATTCACTGAACTGGAAAATTTCAACTCGAGTTAGCTAAAGTTTCAACGCCGTGGCGCTGAAGTGGAAAAAAGTCATCAGTTTTGGGAATTAACTCATATACATAGCAAGCACTTACATTCATGCATATGTATATATCACACACGATCTTCAAAAGTGTCAGAACTCAAAATTAAACGTACGTCAGAAAATGTGAAAAACTATTTCGTAGCACATGCTAATCGTATGGGCAGGGGAGACTTTACTTTAGAGTTTTTCAACAAATTATAATAAAAATTTGCTCCAACTTTTGCTGAAAGGTAAATAAAAGCTCTGTGTACATTTTCAATGCATAATTTCAAAAATGCCAAATTTTGAGTTTTGTCACTTTTGCAGATCATGTGCGATATGCACACAGATATCTTACGCGTACGCAACTTTAGATTAATAAAATTCACATTTACATGCATAACTGAAATGTGGTGTTAAATGAAAAATGTAAAATGAACAAGTAAGAAAGTCTAAGTTCGGGCGGAGCCGAACATTAAATACCCGGCGCAAGTATTAAATATATGTTTTCCACCTTTCTGAAAGCTACCGCTACATGATAAGCCGGGCTGTATACATTTTAAGTAAATTAGCGTCCTTAAATTTCGAAATATTGCAGTTTCAAGCATATCTGACATTTACCGTTATATGAAAAGCGGCCTCAATTTTAGTCCGATTTCAACAATTTTCAACGGTTTGCTTTTATGTGGCAAGCACAATAACCATACCGAGCTTGGTACAAATTGCTAGAACGGTTAGCGAGATACATATATGTGATCACAAGTGGGCGGTGCTACGCCCATTTTCCAAAATTTTGTCATAAACGTATTTCTTGGTAAAGAATTGTTGCAATCATCAATTTTGAATAAATTAGCTTCAATATTTACTGATTTATCGAAGATTTTGTATTTCTCTAAATTACCGTTATATGGGATGTGGGCGTGGTTATTGTCCGATTTTTTAAATTTTCGGCCATTTAGTATGCTGTACCAAGGCCAACAACTGTGCCAAGTTTGGAAGAAATTGGTGTAGCGGTTACCAAGATATACACATGTAACCATAAGTGGGCGTGGCTACGCCCATTTTCCAAAAATTTATAATATTCATGTTTTCCGTCTGAAACTCATTGTAAATATCAATTTTGAGTGAATTATCTTCAGTAGTTACTAAAATATCGCAGTTTTCGTATTTCTTAAAATTACCGTTATATGGGAGGTAGGCGTGGTTATTATCCGATTTCGCCCATTTTCAATACCATCCGTCCCACGCCCAAAAGAAGTTCACGTACCAAGTTTCGTTAAGATATCTCAATTTTTACTCGAGTTATCGTGTGCACGGACGGACGGACGGACGGGCGGACGGACGGACGGACAGACAGTCACCGCTTAATCGATTTCTCTTTTCATTCTGATCATTTATGTATACATTTGTCTATATCTGTCTCGATTCGTTTTGCCTGTTACAAACAACCGTTATGTGAACAAAGTTATAATACCCTTGTGCACAAGTGCGCTCGGGTATAAAAAGCATAGCAAATAGCGCGCTCCATTCTCAACAGTATTGTGCTACAGCTGTTCGTTAGCAAAGGATTAAAAATATTAACTCGATTACTTACCTGTCAGTCAAGTGTGCTCGCAACGAAGACAGCTCGTCTGTGTCATTTGCTGCTGCTAATGCTGCTGTTCCTCCTTCTGGAAATGTCTTCATATTTCAAATTCAATTTTTCCATTTGAGGAAATTCTAGGTTTGTTTGTTTGCTGGTAGGAGCAAACGTTCATATGTATGTAAGCAGCTTTTAGTCAGGCATCTACGCGAAAATGCTGTCACCAACAAAGCTTGAATATGACACATTGTAGAAAACATTAACAGACAAACACACACACACACACAGATGCAATTTCTGACGTAGCAAATTTTATGTTTCGAACGAAGAAGGATATGTGTGAGGAGCAATAGTAAAAGCATTAGAAACGACTGGAGGTGCCGCCACATACTTGTGGCATGTGCTTGAGCATAGCAATGCTTGAAATATTTTCGAATTTCATTACCAACTTCAACACATACTCAACCACGTCGACACACACTCGCCCAAACAGCAATGGGGTCTGAGCATAGTTGCGGCACATCGTGTTTTAGTTGGCTATCCTTTGGCTGCGACTGATGCTGCTGCCTCTATGCTTTCTACTAGCTCCGCCAGTTGCTGTTGCTGTTGTTGGTTGCTGTTGCTGTTGTTGTTTCTCTCCACGCTTCTCTAAAGCGTTACTGCTTTGCATATGCGCTTTCTTTTAGATTTTATATTGTTTTTGGTGCTCTACCAGCAACTGATGTCTGTTGGGACAACCGACGGGTATGCGTATTTTGCATAACTCGTTGCATTTTGATGTTATGCACGAGAGAATACGCAAATTAAAGTCATCGCCAGAGTTGTGCGCTTTCGCATTCACCAACGCCATCATCTTCAAACGTCATCGCCACAACCTTCTGCATGTGAATGTACGCAGTAAAGGTCTGCACAAACTCACACGAAAATACTATTTGGACGTTCAGTGCGTCTTGTGTTTGTAAATATCGCATTGTTAATCTATTAGAAAGCCGGAACAATCGAGATAAGCGAAATGACCTCCCATGCAGATCTTTAGTATGTATGTAAAGACATATTTATAACTATTCCTCTATGCCACAACTTTGCAAAAGCTATCATCGCCGTCTAGCATACTCGCATAAACAAAAATTGCTACGCAAATGCCATTGCAACCATGCGAACCATTTCATAGTGATTTGTACGTACTGAACAATTGCGAAGAATGTTGAAGTTGTGGCTGTGGCGCTGGTTGCTCTGGTGCTTTGCGTCCATGTTCTTCGACAGCAGCCAAGCCGAGGCTGAAGCATCAACAGCACCGTTGGTGGGAGCAGATATTAGGAAAACTTAAACTATGTACCACTACTACTGGCCATACATTCTTATTATTATTGCCACATCATTGCTTTTGCTGTAACCCTTTTTCACATATGCTGCAAGAAGGAAAATATAAAGGCAAACTTTGACTCTGAGGAATTTCTAATACATACATAATTTGGACGTCAAATTTATGTGAAAGTTCTAAAACGCAAATAATCAGAGTTTAAGGCTAGATTTTCGGTTTAATTTGTGGCAATAATATTTAAAAAGAACTATTAAAGACAGGCCGTTTGCTCCCGGTCCGAAAGCAATGGAAAGATGATTTCTTGTAGGCTCACATTTCGTTTCTCTTCTTGGCCAACTGACGTCGATTGAAAAATGCCAAGTAAAGCCAAATTTTTCCATTGCAGGGGAGGGGGGGGGGGCTGTATTTAATCCGGCGAACTCTGTATATGGCGTTGTAAAGCTCATACAGCACGTCGCTCAGTCGCGCCAGTAGATATTCCGCAAAATCGTTCTCTCTAATACTCCTAGAAGGAAGAGGAAGAGGTTTTTAAGTGGTGGGTCCAAAGCCCAATAACGCACAACTACATTCTGTGGCTTCAAGCTGATCCTCCTGGTGAACACAAGAATGATAGAATAGAAGATTGCGCCAATCGAGCTGAGAGCAACTGGGTGTGACGTCACATTATTTTGAGAATGAGAGTGTAAAAAATAATTTTGAAGAAAAAGAGGAAGAAGCGAACAAGTGGTGCGAAATAGTGATGTAAAGCTAGATTGAATTGTACTCACTCTTCAGCTTCTTAAATTTAAACGTATATTCGGTACAATCACATTATTTTAGGTACATTTGGAACGTAGTAAAATATTGTCTCATGTAAGTCCAAAAGTTGTTATGGTACAGATGGAAGATGCAGTCCACCAAGTGACAAAAATATATGCACATAAAAGTACATGTTTACTGTTTAGGTACGTATATGTACTTTTAGGTACAACTTTTTGGCAAATAGGTACAATACGAATATTTAGTATTCATCACTAGTGCTGAAAAATAATAATGTGACGTCAGCGAGAGGGTGAATGCTGTCAAATCGAGGAAGAGAGGATTAGCGGTCCCCGGAAGGCGCCACCTTTGTTTCGATGCATCGTGTAGTGAACAGACGCTGCCAGCTTCAGTGAGCTCTATACCGAACAAGTCGGAGTGATCCCCACCGTGTCTTTCTCTCCCTCTCTCTCTCTCTCTCTCTTTCTCTCTCTGTCGTGATCCTAAGCTCCTCCACCCTTATTGGTTACCTCATCTCGTACCTTGCTCGCTCACGAGTGAGAAGAAAGGTTGAGTGCAAAGTATCCTTGGCTGAGTTATACGCACCTACGTAAGTACACCTGCACTTGGTTCCGGTGCATATTTCCGAATGACTCGGACTTTTTCTCTCTGAAGCAACGCCTTATAGTAAGGTTACTCAACATCATTCTTCTAAAGGCTGACGTTGGGCCCAACTCAGCACAAGTGACATACATCTGCTGCATACTCATGGATGAATCCATCCGAATTCCACTTCGATTAGGTGCAACAATTGCATCGGATAGACTCCCCTAAGGAACTGTACAGGTCTTAGGACACGCTGGGAGTGGACCACATGGCCCATGTCGTTCAGACCTACGACACGGAGCTACTTTAGCTCGAAGTTCACACTTTGGTGGTAAAGGCCAAAGAAAGAGGGAGACAGGGCGCATCCCAGGCACTTTAGAAAGCACGGACGCGGTCCGAACGGTACCTACAAAACCATTGAGCCCGACGGAAACGGCGCTTGTAACGGCATCCACAGAGAATGCGTCACCGCCTTCACTAACACTCGCCCCATAAATACCGTTTTGGAGCCCAATAACCACCTGCTGCAGTTGAAGAGCTTCAGCTGCTGCGTGAGACATCGTCACTCTTGTCTATTCAAATCTTATATATACTCTCAGAAAGATTCTAAACGATTCTGTTGGCTAAGATGCTAGCCGAAATATGTACATCAAAATTATTAATAAAATACAGACACTAGAATATGAAGACAACTTAATTATGTTAAAAGCAAACAGCTATTAAAATTTAAATTCTTTACTATAAATATTTTGAAGGTACACTAAAACCTATATTAAATTTTTTTGCATCTTCCGAACAGAACGATCGACTCATGATTGGCCAATATGTCACAATGTTCGGCGATGTTATAAGCCATGTTAATATATCTGCGGTTAAATCGGAGGATGGCGGTGAATATGAGTGTAAGGCCATTTCGCGGGCAGGTGAAGCATCGCATTCGGCGCGTTTAAACATTTACGGTGAGTTGAGCTGCCTCCGCGTGCATAGGCACATACATAGTACAGACATATGCATGGGTATGAAACACACGTGCCCGTTTATGTATGAATACATATGTATGTGCACATCAGCGCACAACAGCGGAGTCATATCAAAAGTAACAACAAAAAAGTAAATACCCTAACTGCCAAAAGCGCAGAGACAAACAATATAGTACAGACTGATTGACAGGATTGCTAAAATATGTACACATACAAACATATGTACGTATATTTTTATGCATTTGGAGCATTGGCTGAAATGAAAGTTTGACTTTTACGCTGAATTTTATATTTTTATGTGTTTGTTTAGCTAGCATTTACTCAACAGAACATTCTTCATCACTTTACTCTTCGCTCTATATTTCCTCATCTGTTCGTAGGTATGCCATACGTGCGCATGATGCCAAAACTATCTGCAGTGGCGGGAAAGACATTTTTTTTGAAATGTCCCGTGGCAGGATATCCTATCGACAGCATCATCATAGAGAAAGGTAAGCATTCATGTTCATATGTATTTATTAATTTGCGCACACTGCGAGCATATATATATGTACAAAGTTGTTTTGCATGTGGTAGGTAAGTTACTGACAGGTCATGGCATATGCTCGGTTGCCAGTCAGCGTCAATTGGGGAAACGAAATTCTCTTTCTGAGGGCATTTCCGCTGAATAGGGCTGTTGCATGTTGTTGAAGAGCATACAGCATGTGGCGAGGGCGCGTCCTGGGTTTTACATATCGAGTCATGTAAGTTTACGTAGGCAAATTCTACTACTAAGGTGATCGTGACGACTTATTTATTAGCAGCGGAAACGGTTACATCTGTTATATAGGGTGTCCCAAATTTACTTCTTCTTCTTCTTCCTTCTCTTTGTCTTATTTGGCAAAGCCTAAAGCCGTTTATTGGTTTGAGCCGGGACCTTTGCGAATCTGCCGCAGTTGTTCATATAGACTGCAGACAAGTCATTCTGCCCTTGATTTTTCCATTTTGATCAGGGCGCCATTCAATTCGTTATCCAATCATGGATGGAAGAGTCGAAGGATGTCCATGTCGTTGAAAAGATCGTAAATTTCGTCACCCATGTTCTGGGGCGCCCGTCGCCCACGCGAACACTGGCATAGGTCTTGCATAGAATAGCTTTCTCGAAAGCCCCCAAAGTGTTCTAATCTTTGTATCTACCATATTTCTGCGAAAGGACATGTTAACAGACTTGTATTTTAGTTTGGCGAGATGAATCTGCTTTCCAATTACTCACCGAGCCCAAAGTATCACCTGCTGGCATGAGTTATTCATCGCCTGATTTCCTGTCTGACGCTGTTGGTGGTATTTATGCTACATCCTGCAGGACAAAGTCCTTCACAACTTTAAAGTCTTAACTGCCAACAGCGATTTGTGTCCGAATATGCGGAGACTTTTTGCTTGTTAGTCGGGTGCTGGACAGCGATCTTCGTCCTTATATTTTGGTCTGGATTCTTCTGAGCAATCGCGTCGCTAAAATCGCCATTCAAAAGCTTTTTATCGGCACTAACACAAAACAACGCGCAAAGAAAACAGTACTCAAACTACTGCATTTCCAAGAAGCATCCCCTTTGTTCTCCGTCGACTTCTCAGTTTTCCTAGTTAGACTCTAAAGAGCATGGATGGTAGATTTTTCTGGAAGATAAGCATTGGTTTCTGTACAAAGAGTTTCCTTACAGGATCCATTATATGCCTGTCTGCGATTCTTTCCAGGGCTTTTAGTACAAAAGACGTAAGACTTGTGGGTCGGTAGGACTTTGGCTGGTCAGCTGATTTTACTTCCACCTCTAACATGTAGCGGAAGTGAACCAAATGGTCAGCAACTGTTAACTTTTATGCTGCAGCACGTCCACCGATACTACCAGCCTCGAACTGGTGTAAAAAAACTCTGAGGCGAGGGATAAAATTTGATACGAAAGCCCCTGGAAAGTTTGTGGGTAAAAATTATTTGCCGTTCTGAGAAAAACCTAGTTTTTAAAAACCCTAATTATCGCTCACCCTAACACTAATGTACATTTAAACAATGTATATACATATGTATTTATAATGTTTATATGTATTTTAAAAGTACATTTTTGTTTTATTTTTATGTTTGTGTGTACTACTCCCATACTCATTCACTAACCTTTTCGCATTACAGATGGCGTCAGATTGCCCACAAATATATGACAGCGTGTTCAGAACGGCACCCTGCTCATCGAGAATGTGCAACGTACCGCAGATCAGGGTACCTATACTTGCATCGCCCGCAATAAACACAACTACACAGCGCAACGTACTGTCGAGGTGAAAGTTTTGGGTGAGTTGAAGTGGCTTTAAGCTGTTAAGCTCTGCATACGTATTTATGTGTTGGTATTGGTATTGGTATTGGTATTTCCATTTTCGGAATATGTTCGGCTGTAGCAAATTCGGGAATTTGGTAGCAGACTAATTTTAATTTGTCTGGAGTAGTTAATGAAAAACCGCAGAACGATGAAATTTGTGCGATGCACACACGAGAGCTGGGGAATTTGAAAACTTTAATAACAAACAAACAAACAAATATGAAAGCCCTAAATACAAGCTTCCGCGTAGGTATTTGTGTATGTACAAGTATGAGTACTAAACGCAGCTCGTTAGAAATTGTCGAAATTAATTTTTGGTGGGCGTTGTGGGTATTTTGAAAACTCATTTGGCAGAAGAGCATGTTGCTCAATTTATTTGTAGTACAGATGAATACAATCATGGCCAGAGGTTTTGCCAAAATTCTGTCGGGTCAGAAAGTTAAATTAGAGGGCTTGCGAAAATTTCCATTGATTCTATTTACAAAAGCTCGATGGTTATATTTCGGTTGTATCAATAGAATCAAATCATTTGAAAGGTATGCTTAAACAATAACTACAGGGTTTATTTACACTAAATTATTTTTACATATGTATTTGCTTAAATTGAAAAATGTAGCTTACAAATGCTATATCTTTATCAAGAGCTAACTTTCAACTATCTTAAAAAAAAAAAAAAAATGTATTCTAATTATTTTTACGATGCTCTGATAAAAACCATACGCAACCCAATTCTAAAAAAATCAGTAAGTTGGGATTTTCTTAATCAAAGATTTATTTTTTTTTTCGAGTAAGAAATTCCCTCTCTATTTCAACATGTTCATTCATATTACACTGTAGTGGAGGAAAATGCTTTGGATTATCGAGGCACCCTGAACCGGAAGGCCCAGATTGGCGTGATGTAATCGTATCGTTGTCGGCATCTAAGTCGAGTCTAAGCCAGTTATGTCGTCCTCTTTTAAGTTCGTTTAAGTTCGCTGCATACTGATATTCGGGGTGTTTTCACAATTTCGATTCCTTCAATCAGCATCGTCAGTCATTTGACGGCTTAATCAGCTACTAATACTTGTGGAGGTTTTGAAAAATTATCAGAGTTGAGAACTGGGTTGAATAAATGTTTGACGCTGTAAGTATGTGGATGGTGTGAATTAAAACTCGATAATGTTCAAAAAAATAAAAATAGAAACAAAAAACGCCAAAGGAAAAACGAACAAATAAAAAAGCAAACAAACCCAGCTTTATTTACAACTAAGCAGTGTAGGACCCAGGCGGAAACATGGGGAGCGCTTTGGAATAAACTCTTTTGGGAAGGGCGTTTTTAATTTAGACATTCTCTTTACAAGCTGTTTAAGAAAATCTTTCAATAGCCTTGTCATTCGAGGGCAGACAAGAAGGTATGTTTTCAAAGCAACGGAAGGCAAATAAAGGAAATAGTCTCCGCAGGTGTGCCGGCGCGTGTCTGTAGCAAAGTTATACACTTCTCTACATATTTTATGGAAAAAAAACGTGTTTTATATCCGGTTTGGTACCAGTTGCTTGGGGTGTGGCACTAGGTGTTATAAGTTGCCTAAACAAAAAGGTACAAAGGTAAAAGGAGTACGGTAGACGTATCGGCACAAAAAATTAGAAATACGCCTACCTAGAAAGCCTCGTTTTGCCAAATGGGTAGCAACTTTTCTGTTGTCGGTGTCCGCGTGTTTATTAATCCTTGGAAGTTTTATAGGACCAACAATATGGTAATGTTAATGGATTTGGTAGCCCTTAGTTTAAATGCTAACTGTGTACATATGGATGTATGTATGTTTGTATGTATGTACCTACAAGTATAAAAATAACCTTCACACCGCTTACGGTATACAATGTTAGTACATATATTACACACATATGTACTTAATATACATATATATATATAGTTGGACGGATAAAAAATACCCAATTTTGTAAAATTATATAGCATGTTTCAATTAATAGACGATAGCCATTTCAAATGCAAAACATGTTAGAAGTGCTTTGAAAACGATAGAAAAAATGTTCACGTTATTCAAAATGCCAACCAATTTTAACTTGCACTAAGTAATTTGCAACTCGTAAAAAAATATTTTCACCCTTTTACTTGACGCCATTTCAATTACCTAACTGTTAACTGAATTTTTTTCGCCAAAGCATGCAAAAACACACACAAACACGAACACTAGTACATACATAGAGTATAAAGGAACATGTTGCCGCAATTTTTCCATTTTCATAAAAATGATTGAGTTACCAGTTAACGAAAATGAAAGAAAAATAGCATACATCGGCATGCACACACGCATGTGCATATGTACATTAGGCTGGGTTGGTCCCCATACAAAAAAATTTTACAATATTACTTTGAGAGGGTTTTGGAATTATAAAAAACTAAAAACAGCTATAAGCAAAATTTTTTAATTTTTTATTTGCGACTCAATTTCAAAGTGTGATATATAATTGAAAATATTTTTTTTTAGTATTATACCACTTTCTTAAAATTTGGTTTCACCCTGATCTTTGTCTTTACATATGTTTATTTCTACCTCGATTTTCTTCTAAACGCCTATCCCTTCATTATATTTTTATCTACATATTCACCTTTCCTTATATCCTTGTAAAGGTGAATATGTAGATGAAGGAAAACCGTTGCTGAACAAGTTTCTTTAATTCAGTATCAATATTAAAGCCCACAGTAAGAACGCACTTTCTAACCAACCAATTCCAACGCCGCTTAACCCACCGTTACTGAGATAAGTTTTACAACACGAGTCTTCGTTCTTAGCTTGAAGTAGACCACTTTCATTTTTATGAAACCAAACTCTTCTTAAACCAGGGGCGAATTGCGGACTAGTTTTTGTGAACCAGCCTAATATACATATGAACATACATACATATGTATATTCACATACATTTGAAATACCTACTTTCACACACGCACACCCACTTCAAACTAAGTATTTTAATCGTTCAGCTATTTTTTTTTTGTATTTTATTTAATGCTACTTTTCCTTTCACATATTTTTTTTCGATTTCATATCGTGGTGTTTTCTTTTTTTCACCGCTATCTTTCTGTTATTCCTGTGCATTCGGCGTGTGCATGTTTTTCTTCTTTCTCGTGTGCACTTCGTTATTGTTTGCTTTTCCTTATTGGCTTGCACACGCACAATTTTTCTGCCAGCAGAGTATAAAGTTGCAGCAATAAGTGCACGTGCCGGCATGTTTATATTTTATTTTCTTGCACACAAATTTTATTTTTTTTTTTTGTATTCGAATTGTGTTTTCTTTGACATGTCACACAGAAGTATTGATGAATTTTTAAAATGCAATGATAAATGGTAATTAAGTTTATTCGAGCGCAAATAATAAAAGAGTTGTTTTTACAAGTACTCTTATAAAACACGGCCTTAACGAAAAGTGTAACTTAAAAAAAAAAAAATGCATTAAAATACGCTTAAAGCAGCGCATTTTTCCACTCCCCTAAGATACGAAAAAATTCTTATGGGGTGTTAACAGTGCATCGTTTCACAAAGGACTAATTTGCTATGCACATTCGAGCTGTTGTTTCTTCATTCGATTCCATCTAAAATATCCAACCATCTCTTCCTTCAGCATCGCCGAACTTTGCATACTAGTGACTCATTTGCATATTTGTGCTAAAAACCTAAACCAACAAAAAATAGTTAGTCTGTTCCGGGGCTGTCCACAAATAACCAGCATCCACGTGCATACTTACCAACTTATGTACATACATACTTCTGTATAGTACGAAAATATCCAGTTGGAAAGTAATCCATCAATGTCATTGTCATGTCAACGTTGCCATTGATGTTTGCTATAAGCGCTTGTGGTAATCTTTCTGTAACCGGCGTATAGGGTTTAAGGGTCCACTGAAGTCCGTAGCGTCTGTTCACCATGAGGTGCGCCTGCAAGCGTGTGTCTGTCATGGAATAAGCGGCGCACTATAAAGACGCATAGCTAATGCAATTCTCTGACTTTATGGTGGCTGCTGTAGTGTAGTGGTTAGAAGTGCGCTCCGCAGGGCCTGGGTTCAAGCCCGGTTCAACCTAACATAAAAAAAAAGTAAAAAACGTAAAAAAAAATTTCTATGGCCCCTCGACAGGCATTCGCAAACCTCCGAGTGTATTTCTGCGTTAAAACTCACTGATTTCCTTTCAGCCGCTACTGATATCGGCCGAATTCTCGGGGTACTTAGTGTAACCCAGTTTCAGCGGAGTCCGGCCCGAGCGGACGACTCCTTTCTCCGCTACACGCAAATCATTTATGGGTAGAAAACGAAAATTGCTCCTCAATTCCAGCTCAACTAGAATTACAGGGCCACCTAGTTGTATTACGGCAGATAAAACAAGTAGACAAGTAAGGACATAGCAGGGGCGGCTGCAGCCAAAACCATTATTAAAATGATATGCCCTGGTACGGTATATACAAAGGTTTGTACCGCTGGTTAACCGAACGGAGAGGCCGGTAGCGAACACAGCGAAGATGCAAATTTTATTCGAAAGTAAAACCCTGATGGTTCCAATAAGGGTCCCACATGTTATGCTCATGTTTATGTCAACAACCACCTCTTTACATGCGCCCTTAACCCAACTCAACTTACACATTTCTTCCTTTGATCCGACCGCATCGAAGCAACAAGTTTCCGAGGTCTACAATTAGTTGAGCTTAACGACAACGATTGAAGATAAGCCAATTGTAAGCAGCTGCTACAACAACAACAGGACGTGCACTAAATTAAAAAGTCTAGATTTCGAAATCGAATTTTAAAGTAATTTTAATGTTGCTTTGCCCCAACGAACGGGGGAGGAAGACGTGGTCACGTTACCAAAAAGACGCAAATTATCGACTCGGAGTCTGAAATAGATCCCATTTTAATGACAGTTGAAAAGAATAAAGAATACAGGAGCCGCTATATTGCAGGTTGGTCAATACGGAGTAAATGGGTCCA